CGATTTTTATACTATAATTTATAAGTCACTTCAGGATCTTAGGCTTTTTTGGAAATTGTCAAAAAAGTAAGGTTATTGACATATTAGGATCATATTATTTTTTTACTTTTTGCATGTCTTTTTGTAATTTTTTGCACTTGCCAAAACAACCCTTAATATATTTAAGATTTTACTGTGATTCGAATCATTTAACCCAACTAAAATTTTAAAATCACGAGATCATCATCTTGCAATCTAAATTAAGGTTTGGTAGCCATGAAAAAAATCCTTGTAGCTCATTTATCTCCTGATTCATTCGACGCGCCATCACCTTGAATTTAATGTGTACTTTTATATTTGGAAAATTAATGAATCTATGGTGTATAAGATTCTGATGGATTAAGAATGTAGATTAAGGCCCAATTTGGAAAGTTGAATTTAAATTAAAATAGTTAATAAAGATAAAATAGACTAAAATAGTCAATAAGACAAAATGTAACATTTGAACCATAATCATTTAACTTTTTCTCTCACAACCATCAAATCAATTACAAAAAAAAGTCAATTATTTTCCTAAACACAACTTTAAGATTCTGATGGCTTGTGGCAGGGTCTCACCAAACTTGTATGGCTCGGCAACCTGACGTCTGTAGAAGTGGAGGGATGTCTTATATAGAAAGTATGTTCTCACTTTCCATAGCTACAGATCGAGCGCAACTGCAGTACCTTAGGATAGGTAATTGTCCTATGATGGAAGAAATTGTTTCGAGTGAAGGAGTAGAGCATGAAACAGCAACAAATAAATCGAGTTTCCTAAACTAAAGGAATTGCGTCTTGGATCCTTGCAAGTTTGATGGTATCTGCAAAGTATGAATGCAATTGAGCTACCACAACTGAGTTCCTTGTCACTGTTGAATATGCCAAAGCTGAAGCGTCTCTGTCCTGCTTTAGATTCAGAGAGTAATTGTGATCCCATCATTCAACCCCTCTTCAACGACAAGGTATGCTTTTCTTATTTAAGAGCTTAATTAATTGCTAATTTGTGAACCACTTTTCATTTTATTTACTATTACATCTCTATTTTGAGTTTTAAATTTTTTCATAATTGGGTAATAAGATCGTCTGCGTCACTTTTATGCCATATTTAATATAAATTGTGTGTTTACATACATATTTGTATTTGTATATCTTTATTCATACCAAATAAAAAAAAAATAAAATTTACCAACAGAATTACTATGCATAAAATTCATACAAAATGATGTGATAATTGTATTTTTACAAATCTTGAACCACAATGGTGGGCTTTGCATTGAAGTGAGAGGATCATATAAGGCCATGTTGGTCTGTATGGACAATTTTATTTTAAAAAACAAAAAATAGCTTGATCGGACACTAAGGCCCCGTTTGTTTTCAGGGATAGAATGGAGGGGATTCGTAGTGAGGGGATTAATAGTGAGGAGATTGTTAGTGAGGGATTGATAGTGAGGAATTGTTAAATTATTTTTATATAAAAATAAAACAAATAAAAAAATATAAAAATTAAACATTATATTTAAAAAAAAATTCCTAATATATAAAAAATAAAAAAAAAAAAATTTCTAATCCCTCACTATTTTTCTAATACCATCCCTACCTCCTCCTTATCAATCCCCCTTCCTCCTCTAACTAATACCAAGGGATTACTAATCCCCTCCCTATCTCTCAAAACAAACACCTCATTCTCAATCCCTCCTCACTATCAAACCCAATCCCCTCCCTATAACCCCAAACAAACGGGGCCTAAGTGCCACTGGATCAGATTACATTTGTATAAAAATAATTAACAAATAGTATAACTTTCAAATGTAGTCAATCAAATTTTTTTAGACAAATGAAATCTAAATAACTAAATTTTTGGTATGAATGATCTTTTAGGAGGGTCATACAAAATGAATGGTTAATCCCTACAACAAAACGAACAGTGCGTGTCACGCCCTCAAAATAAACCCATAATATTATACATTCAAGATATCGAAAAGAGATATTATATTACAATCATCAAAGTATTTTGCAAAATGTATTACATATTGACTATAAAAGTAAACGCCCTATGGGCTTACAACTTTCCAAGTGAACGCTTGGTTACAGAAAGAGAGTACTAACTCCATACAAAAGAAGCCCTTGGCTTGATATACATGTAATATAACAAACAACAAAAAGATAGTCTAACAGCCTCAACCTCCCAAGCTACGTCCTTGGAGGTGGCATAACACCTGTACCTAAAAATGATGTCCCATATAGGTGAGCCAACGCCCAGTAAAGATGTGCTAAACATAATATGAACAGTAACTAAAACGTTAGCAATTGATAAACGTTTAACTCATACACAACAACTTATAACACATTTCAATCCCATGACTAGTATGTCCATGTTCTATTCCAGTTTCCATTTCTTATCAAATTCTCATTTCATAATCGTAACTTAGAACTTGGCCAATCAATTTAAATGAGATCACATCTCATGTCAACGGTATTCCTATTTCAAGTGAGATAATAACTCATTTAAACATTTCATACTTCATAATAGATACACATTTTGGTACTGTATCAAAGTCAAACAAAAACATTTCCATACTTTTCAAATGATATACATTTTAGTGCTATATCAAATCAAACAAACACTTCTATACTTCACAAACGATAATGATATACATTTTAGTGCCATATCAAATCAAATAAAACACTTCCATACTTCACAAATGATAATGATATAGTGCTATATCAAATCAAACGAACACTTCCATACTTCACAAATGATACATATTTTAGTGCTGTATCAGTCTCAAACAAAATCCGGTTTAGAGGTCTATCCCCCATCTTCCAATAAACCGTGGAGTACATCCCCCATCTCCTCCCACACAAAACAATGTATATAAGCAATTATCATATACAAATTCAATCAATCAATACAAATTTTTGATGTATTATACCAACCGCCATGTTCAATAGCATACTCAATTGATTAGTTTTAGTTTGCCTAATCATCATGCATTGTCTACAACAATCAAGACTACCCTCCACCGGTAGCCCAAAACAATTATTTAAGCAAGTAATAATTGCAATAATAGATAAATTGCCGATATCTTCAAAAGTGAATGATTAATATAGTCCGACTCCACCGTACCATCTCATAATGAGCCAATTTCATTATATTCAACTCAATTTCATATTTCCACAACAAAAGCCATTAATTATACTAATGACCCTAATATACCCGAACATGGCATTTTTCCCTTTTTCTCAATATTGGCCTAGAGCCCAAATAATACTAACGACATCAACAATCTCTATTTTAGACCAAAAACACGTATGGATGAGTCAAATAAACAAAACCCTCTTTTCAATCTTAGACATTTTAAAACCCTAACTTCCCAAATCCAAAACATTATATACAAAAGCTCAATATCATGTTAAAGCTCATAAAGATGAGTAGGAATCCCTACCTCAAGAGATGGAACCCAAAGGAGATGATGGAGAAATCTCGAAATGCTCCAAACAAAGAAATTTTAGGATCAAAATGTAGCCCCCAAAGATCAACACACTTTTTACAAAGGCCAAAGGGTGAAGGGTCACTCCTACTAGATCAATCCCTAGAGAGAAGGTAAGTTTTTAGAGAGAGAAACTCTCCAATGGAGTTTTTTTGAAAAGTAAGAGAGAGAGTGTGAATGTAAAAACTGATCCAAAAAGGTGAAGTCCCGAAGTGATAGACAAACAGGTCCGCTCGAGCGGAGAATAGGACGCTCGAGCGTCAAGCACAAAAACTGAACCCGCTCGAGCGCAAGGAAGCCCGCTTGAGCGCTAAGGCACAGAAAACAAATACACCCGCTCGAGTGCGAAAGCAAGTCCGCTCGAGCGTAGATTCTTCCTCCCCAGTATTTTCACAAGACCAAGAACACCCGCTCGAGTGCAAAGAAGCCTGCTCGAGCGCTACCCGTCGAGTGTAAAGAAACCCGCTCGAGCGTGAAAAACGAACCTGCAGTACTTTTGCAGAGGCACGAAATATTGAGAGCATGCAAACTCCGTTCGAGCGCAAAGGTACCCGCTTGAGCGGACCACCAACAAAAACAACTCCGCTCGAGCGCAAGAAGGCCCGCTCAAGCGTACGACCAAAAACTTGGGCAACAAGGAATGGGACCAAGGCTCAACCAACCTGTAACAACTCTGCCCAAAACATCTTAAAACTCAAATACAAAGTATTGAAGGACGGAAACAAGATATAATCAACAGTCAATACTACAGAATCCAAGTCCGGGACACTGTACATAAAGGGGTAAAACTCGGGATCGCTATAGTGCGGTTTGCATCACTACTACAACAAATGAATGGTTTGGATCACTACACACAAATTTTTGAGAAAAAATTTAGAAACAAAATATTTTAGTTGTCAAAAAATTCATTATTGTATTTTTAGCGCTGAAACAAGACATTTAATAATAAATTGCTACCTTTTTGGAAACAATTTTTTGTCAAAAATAAACCTTTTTAACGCCAAATTATTTTATTTCTAAAAATACATTAACCAGTGATATTTTAAAATTTTCTCAATAGCCGTCATTTTTTTTTACTTTTGGGACCATCTTTTCCTACCGATTGAATTTGCAGCCCAATATTTTTTTGTAATAATATATTTCACTTTTGAGGATAAAAAAATTTGGTTGAAATTGAATCTTAATATTTTTTGTAATAATATTTTCACTTTTTGACTGTAAAAATGTTTATTCCTAAAATATTTATGAGTATTACTATCCAGGTCAAAAAATTACTTTCACTTTGTATATTTAGTAATGTGAAATTCTATTAAAATATCTAAATCAACTTTCTCTTAATTGTTCTTTAATTATCAACTAATTATCTTATTGACAAATTATTAAATTTAAAAAATGAATTTAAAATGTAGGCTTATATATTATTTTTTTAATATTTATATATTGTAATAAATCATTGAGGTGGAGCAAGAAGTTGAGAAAATTCTTCATTCTTTTTTTTTTTTTTTTGTCAACCCACCAAGCTCAACAACCACATGAAGAAATAAATCAATTATCATAAAAGTATTAAATTGCTCTCTATAAGAATTGAGTTTGAAATTTTACATCATGAAAAGTGTTACATAATTACTAAGTCAAATTTTCTCTGATCAATTTAAAAATGATATATTTGAGTAGTTTCAATTTTAAAATATTTCTCAAAATATCTTTGTAACTTTGGTAAACTAACTTAACGTTCATTCATTTTGTCCATATCATAATGAATAAATAGAGATTTAATTAAACATTATAAATTAATTTAAACTGGGTTTTAATTTATTTTGTTCTAAAATAAACTTGAGATATTAAACTTTATAAAATAAATAGAGGAAACACTATGGAGCACACTCTTTAAAGGGTATGCACACATATGCATCTTATAACTAAAAAAAAAATGATATAATTTCATATTTTATGAGTCATAAATAAAAAAAAAAAAAAAAAAAAAAAAATCATAACTAAACCCAACATGAGACATAACTAAAATAATGTCATAACTTAAGAAAAAAAATTGATTAAAACCGAAAATGACATAACTAAGGGTGTACATGATACACCCTTTTAAAGGGGGTGTATATTAGAATTCCCAAATAATTGAAGTGTAAATTGGGTTATTGTATGCTGCAATTAAGTTAGCATCTATGCAATTTTTTAGTTAATCACTATATATATAGTCAATGTAATTATATAAGAAAAATTTAGGTAAAATTATGTTTGTCGTTTTTGTATTTTAGTCTTTTTGACATTTTAGTTTTTATAATTTTTATTAGCTCGATTTAGGCCGGTCAACAGTTGCCTCGGCCTCCAAATTTTGATAAAATTTAGGGCTCACAATTAGGAATAAGTATCATGTGGTTTTATTTTAAATTTATGTCATAATTACTTCAATACTAATTTAATCTATTTATTTTTTTATTTTATTGTACCAGGTCATT